CGAGTTGACCGAGTTGACCGAGTTGACCAGGGTAGTGGACCGAGTTGACCGAGTTGACCGAGTTGACCGAGTTGACCAGGGTAGTGGACCGAGTTGACTCGAGTTGACCGAGTTGACCGAGTTGACCGAGTTGACCGAGTTGACCAGGGTCCGAGTTGACCGAGTTGACCGAGTTGACCAGGGTAGTGGACCGAGTTGATCGAGTTGACCGAGTTGACCGAGTTGACCGAGTTGACCAGGGTAGTGGACCGAGTTGTCCGAGTTGACCGAGTTGACCAGGGTAGTGGTCCGAGTTGACCGAGTTGACCGAGTTGACCAGGGTAGTGGACCGAGTTGACCGAGTTGATCGAGTTGACCGAGTTGACCGAGTTGACCAGGGTAATGGACCGAGTTGACCGAGTTGACCGAGTGGACCGAGTTGACCAGGGTAGTGGAACGAGTTGACCGAGTTGATCAAGTTGACCGAGTTTACCAGGGTAGTGGACCGAGTTGACCGAGTTGACCGAGTTGACCGAGTTGACCAGGGTAGTGGACCGAGTTTTTCAAACGGAGAAAGACCATAATACTGGGTAACTGTGGACTATTTTAGTTTTCCTTTAGATTAAACGATTCTTTCGTTATCAGCCTGGAACCCATAACTTCTCAGTCAACAACCTACCGGACGTTTACTACGGTCCGTGTCTATATGTACGGCGCTGTAAGTACTGACTTCCTGAACATTTAGAAGTCATAGAATATGTTCAACTCGAGACAGATAAAACATTTTTCAAACGGAGAAAGACCATAATACTGGGTAACTGTCGACTATTTTAGTTTTCCTTTAGATTAAACGATTCTTTCGTTATCAGCCTGGAACCCATAACTTCTCAGTCAACAACCTACCCGAAGTTTACTACGGTCCGTGTCTATATGTACGGCGATGTATGTACTGAGTTCCTGAACATTTAGAAGTCATAGAATATGTTCAACTCGAGACAGATAAAACATTTTTCAAACGGAGAAAGACCATAATACTGGGTAACCTATTTTAGTTTTCCTTTAGATTAAACGATTCTTTCGTTATCAGCCTGGAACCCATTACTTCTCAGTCAACAACCTACCCGAAGTTTACTACGGTCTGTGTCTATATGCACGGGCGTATGTACGGCGCTGTATGTACTGAGTTCCTGAACATTTTAGAAGTCATAGAATATGTTCAACTCGAGACAGATAAAACATTTTTCAAACGGAGAAAGACCATAATACTGGGTAACTGTGGACTATTTTAGTTTTCCTTTTTATTAAACGATTCTTTCGTTATCAGCCTGGAACCCATAACTTCTCAGTCAACAACCTACCCGAAGTTTACTACGGTCCGTGTCTATATGTACGGCGCTGTATGTACTGACTTCCTGAACATTTAGAAGTCATAGAATATGTTCAACTCGAGACAGATAAAACATTTTTCTAAACGGAGAAAGACCATAATACTGGGTAACTGTGGACTATTTTAGTTTTCCTTTTATTAAACGATTCTTTCGTTATCAGCCTGGAACCCATTACTTCTCAGTCAACAACCTACCCGAAGTTTACTACGGTCCGTGTCTATATGTACGGGGCGTATGTACGGTGATGTATGTACTGAGTTCCTAAACATTTAGAAGTCATAGAATATGTTCAACTCGAGACAGATAAAACATTTTTCAAACGGAGAAAGACCATAATACTGGGTAACTGTGGACTATTTTAGTTTTCCTTTAGATTAAACGATTCTTTCGTTATCAGCCTGGAACCCATTACTTCTCAGTCAACAACCTACCCGAAGTTTACTACGGTCTGTGTCTATATGCACGGGGCGTATGTACGGCGCTGTATGTACTGAGTTCCTGAACATTTAGAAGTCATAGAATATGTTCAACTCGAGACAGATAAAACATTTTTCACATAATTTTCACATTTATGCACCTGGTAGGATGCAGTATCCGCCAGTCCACCATTGAATTCCCTTGCCACACCCAAAGGAACATATCGATCATTACACAAGAAAACAGGAAGTTTGGTTGTAAAGCAAACTTTCTACACCCATCAGAAGGAAGCACTAAACTCTCCAAACTTCATCTCCAATGAATGCACCAGTATCCCCTGTCCGCGAAACAATAGTATCGACTCTTTTCTAGACAACACGGACTTCAATCTAACCCACTCTGTCTTCGCTCCCGTTTTTTGGAACTAACCGGGATTGATTCACACGTCTCCCGACTATTGTTGGACAGTCAGAAGCGCAGGTAACGGTCGATAGCCGCTCCATTGATCCCCGCCTCCGGGACCCGCTAGATAAGCAGAGATACAGCCCCGCGTACGCTGTGATTTATAACCCGGAGTTTTCCTGTCTGATATTATCATCTCAGGAGTAAATTTGGTCACTGCTTTTGTGCAGAAAGATGCACCCCGGAGGTTACTTTGTATTGACGGATGTGACGACGTTTTAAGTGCGTGGGAAGATAAGAAGACGACTGTGCGAAAATCGACAAACATCTGCATTTCGGATGCGAAAAAGTATTGAGTTGTTTTTTTTTAAAGTCTACAAAGTTGTACTGTTGCCAATTTTTTAGCAAGAAAGAACCACTTACCAACCACGTCCTCAATAGGTACTGATATCTATCGCTGAGAAAATAGAATTGTAATTTGATATCTTTATCTTATTTTAATTTGCATTCAAAAAAGGACATCATGCCATGTTTCTTGTTCAGCGAATCGAAAGTCAATTCAGGAAGCCATTTCAACAAGTCTGGCCTTCCAATATATAATTCAATGGATAATAGCAATATATACAAATGATTCTTGTTGAGACAGCTCTTTATCAATATGCATCCACATGAATCCACACGTACCTTGAAATTTGAAAGAGGTTTGGAAGTGTAATCTGGTTTCATGCCTAAAACACCCCCTTGCGACAACAGCTTGAGCTGCAAATCCTCCTATGAAATACATTATAAATCGCGTAGTTTCTGACGACTGCGGCTTCAGATGTAGTTGTTGTACGGATGTTCCTATAGATCTTGGCCATTACTTAGTCTGATACGTACATTGACCTGTATCCCTTTTTTCTTTATAGTGACCTGCCACTTTAGCTATATATAGCCTGGGTGCCATCCTAGTTTGTATGTATCCCCTAAGAAATAGGGGGGAGTATAGGATCCCCGGCATACAAATAGGATGGAACCCAGGCTGCTGCCACTTATATTTAATTAAGGCCTTTTTGTGCGGTTATAAATACTCTGACTTATGGAAAGCGACCTGCAGGCTTATCATGAATAAAGAATGGTTCAAACAAACAAACTTACATACCATTGTGGGGTCGTGTGTCGTAGAGGTCCCGGGTTCGAGTCCTGACATGCCACCGACCTTGGGAAAGGCACTTGACACGACATTCCTCAAGTAACAATTAGTATTGTCTTGTCCTGTATTCGTCCTCTGCATTGGTGGCGGCATAAAATAAGTTGATATAACTTGAGTGTGCCGTCACCATGTCCAGTCATGAAATGTTGGAATAAAAAAAAACTTACATGCGTTGTTCTCTGAACACACTGTGTGCAGGTTTTGCTAGAAGTGGCCCGAGACTTGTTCGAGGAGCAGACGTGCCTTGATAGTATCGTGCTGAAGATCATGATGAAGGCTTTGACTCTAATGAAGTGCGAGAGATGCTCCGTTCTCTTCCTGAAGAATGAGGGAGACCAGGTAAGTCTGTTTCCCATTTCTAAGTAACATTTAAACTGCAAACAAACAAACTGGGAGGTTTTTACTATCATGAAAGTTCATCTGCGTTGGTAGTTACATGTTTAAAGTTAAAACTTTTGGTCCAACACAAAAATTCTCTCACCTAGAGCTTTCGACCAGTCACTCCGGCCTTCGAAATTCCTCAGTAGACAGACCCAGTGAAGCTTGTCACGTGGCTTCTTTGAGAGAATTTTTGTGTTGGACCAAAGGTTTTAACTTTAAACATGTAACTACCAACACAAATGAACTTTCATAATAGTAAAAAAAAACAAATAGATTAAGGACTTCGGGAAGGATTTAGAGTTTTTCTGACCTCCCAGTCCACTAAATGTATTTGGTATGATGTAACTTAATCTCACTGGTATTACAGCACTTTCCATGTCTCTACTAACTCCCACCCGACGCGTACTGGGTAACCTTTAGGCATGACCCCTTGTCAATCAACTGTCAAAATCATCAGCCACCCACCCTAAAATTGGGGCTATCATTGTGAAATATATATAGGTTGCTGTATTGGAACCAACATTCTATGTGGAGATTACCGAGTTCAATATTTTCTCCTTGTTTCACAGGAGCTGTCGTTCACAAAATCTTTCAACCTCACATCTTCATTTTCTCACACGAGGTAAGACACACATACATCAGAGTATATTCCTAGTAACATGTTTAGTGCTAAAAAGGATATTGTAGGAATAAACAATAACACTTGCCTAGAGAATAAACCTTTGCCAAAAGTCTAGAGCTAAGCTAAAACAAGCTAAGTGAATGCGCACAAAGAAGTCACGGTAAGGTAAACTTGCACAGTCACCCTTCTGAAGTTAAACCTTCTACTAAAATGTTAGACCTCTTCTCTAATAACATCATGCTCCAGCCGCTTCTTTCGCTAACCTCTTTTTCTTCCATCTGACATTCTCCCCATACATCAATCCTGTTTTCAAATGACGACTCTCTTGATCACTCAATTCTTCCGACCTGTACATCACCTCGATCCCTCCTACTACCTCATCTACTACTACATGTACCTTCCTGCATGCCACCTATAGCAGGTTCTCTGGAAAGATGCGCAGAGTGTTTGAGCCTATTTTGGAGGATTATACCCTCTATCAGGTCCAAAGGTAACACATTGTGCGACTTATGTGTCACTAGCAAGAAACAAAAGCCCTAAACTGTAACATCAGACTTCGGTGTTATTAATAACTGCAATGGTAAACTGCTGAAAGTGGTAATAATAAGAGAGATATGCAAATAGTATGTGTGCATCTATACGTATGGCGATAGAGCTAACAGTAGCTAGCGCTGGTAGCCTAGTTACTGTTAGGATATTTTTGTCACAAGAGTATTTTTCATGTATCGCTATTTTTGTCATTTTTGGAAGTCTAGACGTGTTATGATCTTACAAGGGCACATTTGTGCAATTTTTTTTAAATATCAACTTTCAATCTAAAATTAAAGACAATTGTGCAAATAATGCTGAATAGAATATTTCCTAAGTGTAGAGTCAAATAAGTCAAGTCAAAGAACTGAATCGTACAAGATGATATGTAAGCCTACTCGCACCATGTGCTAAATATGTAAGAAGACAAGGTAAATGCAATATGAAAACAGCCAATTTTATATAAAAAGCAGCTATAAAAGGATTGTTAGTAATCAGAAAAATTATATTTTATAAATTATAATTAAACATATTTTAACTTTTTTATAGGAAGACTAACCCATTTTCTGCATTATATTAACTGCACTATTACTACCATTGATTAACATCTTTACTCCATTACAAAAATAAACTGGGTTTACAGAATATTGTAAACAACGTCTTTTACAGGCTCTATGATCGACCAAAATCTGCAACACATGTTGATTATTGATTTGGAATAGGAATAAATTTAAATCAGAATGGTATCAACTGATGATCTCTCATGCTAGTGCATTTTCATTAAGTTACAATGGCCAACAAAAATCAAGTAAGATATTTAACAACCAACTAAAAACGGCTACCATCTGTAAGTGAATGTAAGAAAGGATCAAGCAAACCTGATAAAAAGTAATAATATGATATGATATGTAGCTAATCGTGTGTGATTGGTACTGAAGGTTTCTGCTTGTTCTTGTTCCTGTTTAAGTTCAGAAAGTGGCTCCGCCCCTCTGGTTTCGAACGGAATCATGGACTACGTGGCGTCCAGAGGGGAGGCGGTCAACATCCCGGACGCCTATCAGGACCCTCGTTTTGACTCAGAGGTAAGTGCCCGGATGATGATGAAGTGCAGGGATGTTCATTTACTAATACGCAATGTGTTATCATTCCATTGGAAATGAAAGACGTCTTTCGATTAAAAAAAATGTGATCCTCATAGTTCTCAATAAGATGTACGCGTATATACACATGGTTTTGCTGCTATGGAGAATGCAAATGCCACTTTCTATTCAAAGGAATACACTTAAGGATATATGTTAAAATTAAGAAGCTTAAGAAGCTGTGACACAAAGAAACTGAAACTTGTCAATCAAGCTTCTTATTTGTATGTATGTATGTATGTACGTCCCATAACCGTGAGCGGTCGTAGGGGCATCATGGCAGCCAGCAGCATGTCTGGACTTGCGCCATGATGTTTCAGTAGGCTTATAATCTTGGCGGCGCCTATCTCCTCTCCAAGATTTTGGCTGGTACAGACGGGGTTCGCCAGGCCTCCGTCCGGGTGAATGATGTAAATCACCATGTGGCTTATACAAGACGGAGATCGCCAGGCCTCCATCCGGGTGATTTGAAGTGAATCACCAACTCCATACAGTAGTGTTTGTACCATCGCACACCGGGGCATGCCCCTACTCTTTTTCGAAAGGTGTGGTGGGATCTTTAACGTCCTCGAGGTTTGGCTCTCCTCAAACACGGGACCTCCAGTTTACGTCCTATCCGAGGGACGTCCCTAACCGAAGCTAGGTACTCATTTACACCTGAGTGAAGTGAGGAAAGTCGTGTAAAGTGCCTTTCCCAAGGGCACAAGATCGGTGCACAAGGTGGGGTTCGAACTCGCGACCTCTAGGGTGTGAGCCGAACGCGCTACCGACTGCGCCACACGACCCGCTTCTTATTTAATAAGGTTGAAATACCTTTTGAAATAGCTTTGGTTGCTGGTGGGAATTATGAGTAAATAAGTAAAAATAACATACATGTAACAAATCACCTAATTTCCTACATTTTCATTTCCTTTAGTCCGATAAAGTGCTTGGAATTCGGTCGAAGAGCATCATGTGTGTTCCCATCTGGGACAACCATCACGAAATCATCGGTAAGTTGCTGCAAGTTAGTGACTATTTATTATGTTTACCGAAGGAAAACATATTGTTTTTACTCAGTTTCTTCCTCCTCCTCTTCTGTTCCAAACACTAACCTCTAACCTGCCAATGACATGATTTGTTGACGTCTGTCACCATGGTGACTGGTGTTGGGTTACATAATGTTGCAATTTCATGGTCTCCTCTGCTCTGTCACCATATACTAGTAGTACATGTATGTGAATGTGTTTGAGTAAAAATTAACAGGTCAGACCATGTCCGAAGGTAAACATTAATATGCATTTGCTTTGCAAATGTTACTTCTCTAGTTTAAATTTGATTACCTGGGAAATTCTTATGTATGAAGTCTAGAACAGTACTCTCTACATAAGTCAAATTGTATAACATTCGTATAGATTTTTTTACTGATTATCATACTTTTGCTGTTGAATATGCACCCTTGTCTACTAGCGGTTGCGCAGCTTCTGAACAAGCTAGACGGTCACCCATTCGATGAAGCGGACGAACAATTGTTCAAGGTACGACTTTGAATTTTCTTGAACTTTATTTAAAGTCAAGGACTTCTTGATGTAAACATCACCCGGCTTTACTGGCGTGTACTACTATTGACGACTTTTTTATGTTTACCGAAGGAAAACAATATATTGTTTTTGCTACGTTTCCTCTTCTTCTTCTTCTGTCCCAAACACTAACATCTGACCTGGCCAATGACCTGATTTGTTGATGTCTGTCACCATGATAACTGGTGTTAGGTTACAGAATGTTGCAATTTTATTGTAGGAGTGATTTAGACTCCTGCCTGACCATATAAATGATTTAACAGAGCAGACCATATGCGAGGGTGAACAGTATGCATTTGCTTTGCAAATGTTACCTTTCTAGTTGTGCAGTATTTTATGCCTACTTTACATGGCTTTTGAATTTTGTTCCAGGCATTTGCCATTTTCTGTGGGCTTGGCATCAACAATACTCTGATGTACAGTGAGATCACGAAAGCCATGGCCAAGCAGTCCGTAGCCCTGGAGGTCAGTAGGCATTAGTGTCATAGTCTCGCTCTTCACTTTCTTAAATATACAAAATCATACCTTCCAGTTTCAACGATTTCAGTTATGCATTGAAATTGTATCGACACATTGAATTGACATTTTGTATGGACACCTTGTATTGACACATTGTATCGACACATGATATTGACGCGGTGTATTGACACATTGTATCAACATTTTGTATCAACACATTGTATCGCAACAATGATTTTTATTGATTTATTGTATTGACACTTATTGTATTGACACTTAGTATCAACACATTGTATCAACATTTTGTATCAACACATTGTATCGCAACAATGTATGGACACTTTTCATTGATTTATTGTATTGACACTTATTGTATTGACACTTAGTATCAACACATTGTATCAACACACATTGTATCGACACATTGTATCGACACATTGTATCGACACTTTGTATCGACACTTTGTATCGACACATTGTATCGACACACTGTATCGACACTTTGTATCAACACTTTGTATCAACACATTGTATAGACACTTTGTATCGACACATTGTATCGACACTTTGTATCAACACATTGTATCGACACTTTGTATCGAAACTTTGTATCGACACTTTGTATTGACACATTGTATCGACACTTTGTATCGACACTTTGTATCAACACTTTGTATCGACACATTGTATCGACACTTTGTATCGACACTTTGTATCGACACTTTGTATCGACACTTTGTATCGACACTTTGTATCGACACTTTGTATTGACACATTGTATCGACACATTGTATCGACGCTTTGTATCGACACTTTGTATTGACTTATTGTATCAACACATTGTATGAACACTTTGTATCGACACTTGGTATCAACACTTTGTATCGACACTTTGTATCGACACTTTGTATTCCAGGTTGTGTCGTACCATGCTGTGGTTTCGGAGGAAGATGTCGAGAGCCTAAAAGTAAGTACTTTCATGCCAATTAACAGTAGCAAAGTAGCGTATTCTCTTCTGAACATTTCATCATGACACGAAACGTCATATCGAAGGCTTAGTGGTCCAATAGCTGTCTGTAGCTCCAGACCAACATACATTCTGTGATGGTAGAATAGTTAGATTTAGTACTAGTCAGTATTGCTACATGTATTCTCAGCTCATTGAATGACCATTTGTACCTTGTACAAGATGTTGTCCTAAAAACCTTGGTTTTTACCAACTTTTCCTTGAATCCCAACACAGCTTGACGCCTTGCCTGGGGTGGGTGTTGAATTACTTAAAATGACTACTTTATTATGTACACATAAATGCCGTGAGACATCTTTCTATTTGCTAAGAATAAGTAGACATAGGGTTTAATAAAGGCATCCAGTGCAGTTTTTAGGGCTTGCAAACCCGTTTTCTCAAAGCCAATATTCTAGTCATTTATCTACATACTGAGTTGAAAGCACACTATCCCAATGTATATTGATCCTCATGTTTTCCCAATTCCCAAAATTCTGATGAGAAATGGTTACTGGAAGGGCCATGGGCTGATTTTAAGGGTACCTCCCAAAAAAAAAGACTCATCTTGGGGCTTGTTTCTGAAGTTTTACAAGCCCAAAGTATGAAATAATGATTCAAATGTGCTAATGTGAAGCAGTATGTGTCAATATCACGAAGATTTCCTTATTCAAAATATTTCCAGTTTTGGTGCCCTGAAGTCGCATTGGATGCCTTTAAAAAACCAAAACATGTAGGGTAGAGTGTATGCTTTCTTTAGTAGATGCTTCATCAAGTACTTAGTACATCTCTCATAGCTTTAACATGGAGCTTCTATACCAGTTGTATAGGAACATATTTCGAGAATTATGCCTACTTAACATGTGTAGGTTTTAAACATTTCCAAGTAATTTCTGTCTTAAGTAGCTCGCAGTTTCTTCAGAGATATACCGACCCTAAAAATTTATACCCACCGATTGTATACATGCAATATGCTCAGAATGTTTCTCGTTGTAAATGTCTTGTTTCCGCCACATTCTATATCCCAGTACACAAATGGCATACAGTTTTCCATCTAATGAACGAGCAAACGCTCTAACAATGACGTGCATTTCGTGTTGAAAAGCATTGGATAGAATCTTCTTTCACAATGTGTTACCAACCATCTTCGCATGAACCACTGTTTTTATATAATATAGAACGGTCCAGTTGTAGAACTCATAGGTCTAGACATAAAACACAATATGTACGATCATAATTATACAACCCGCCTTGATGGACAAACTAACGCTAGATTCCTTCTATTCCTTTTGTGGTCTTCAGGCGTCCCCTATTCCGGCTGTGGAGGACTTAGATCTCAAGGCCTTTACGTTTAATGATTTCTTATTAAACAGAGATGAGATGTTGACAGCTTCCATCAGTATGTTTGAGTCTATGGGCCTCGTCAGCAAGTTCCAAATAGACTATGAGGTACGTATACGTACTGTCCATACTAGTCTACTAGTATAACCTGTACACTTGGCTGAGAAATTGGATTTAGAATGGCCCAGTTGCATGCTAAAGTTTGAATGTGTCCTACAATACTTGAGTCTGTGATTCTTGTGGAGATTGAACTCAACATCGGTGATAACATTAACAAAACCATTTTGTTAGCTTTAAAAAGTTTAAAATTAAAAAAAATATGTGTTACTAGTTCTAATAATCAGTGGCAATCATCTAGCGTAGTTACAGAAAAACCTTATGATCTAAACTTTCGACAGTGGAGATATGTAGTCATAAATCATTGTGTTATCATAAAAGCCATATGACACAATCAATCAGTGATACATGTCCACTATATGCTGTAATTGTGTATGAGAGCATCACAAAAATACTATTCTTACATGTATCCAATATCTCAGATATGCATTATTTAGACACATATTGACATGATATTTTGGCGCCTCCATTTCCTGAATGACACTAAGCCATGGACAACGCTGGGTCAAATGTATCTGGTAAACAATGTCGGCCCCCGTCGCGGTTGAGTAAAGGGTGATGGGCACTGGTGTAAATAGCCTCTTTCACCCCTATCAGGAAATAGTCTTGTTCATGGTCCAATTCTTACACCGTTTAATGTTTATTAACACTTTTAGTAACACCTAAATGATGATGATGATGAGTAACACCTATTTGCAATAGAGTTGATTCAATTAAAGAAATGACCGAAAAAATTATTCTGTATCGTCCTGATGTTATATAATGCAGCTTTAACTGAAGTGTTTTCCACCGCTGTGATTACAGACGCTATGCAGGTTGATGCTGACTGTGAGGAAGAACTACAGAAACGTGGCCTACCACAACTGGAGACACGCCTTTAACGTGTGCCAGGTCATGCACGCCATGCTCACGGTAACAACTCACTCTCTGGTTATCAAGGCTTCAGTTTACGATAGTAGCAAATGGCCGGTGGCTAAGCGAATGATAGTTTCCAAAACAACAACAACAACAGGCAAATTTGGTACCTATGTAGCTGTAATTTAGTACTCTGGCTTCCTTTTTCCTTGGGGTTAAGCTAAAGTTTTTGTACAAACAAATCACTAGCTGGTGTCCAGGGCCAGGGGTCTGTTTATCCTATGTATCTATCTATCTATCCATGTATTTATGTATGTATGTATGTATGTATGTCTGTATGTATGTATGTATTGATGATGTATATATACGTATCTAAGTATGTACCTACCTATCTCTCTATACTTATACACATTTATTCTTAATTTCTATTTAGATCGATCTTTCTATCTCATATCTATCTATCGATGCCTCTACACATTTTGTCTTCTTTTGTTTTATCTGTCTTTGTATCAGAATGTACCAACTTTCTTTCTAATCTATGTACCGTTCTATCTATCTTATCCGTCTCCCTCCCTTTTAAACGTTTGGATTGCCCTGTTCCTGACTTCCCACGGAGGTTCTATATAACAAACACTGAAACTATGATGTCTCCAACCCCCTAGCTCGACGCCTGTCACGTTGTGTACTGTTTTACAGAACGGAGGGATGGGGGAAGACTTATTCTCAGATGATCCAGGTGACCAAATAAGGCTACAAGTAAGTGTCCCATGAGAATGGGACTAGCGGAGAAGACTGCCCCCCTCCCCACGCACAGCCAAGTAGACTTAGGAGCAGAGAAGTACAAGGAGAAAAACTAATCCTTGCTGCCAAACTATTTTCCAGCATTTTTATGACCAACGCAATGTGCAGCAATGTATTATTATAACACAAGTCAGCAAAATAGCTGCGGGATTCCTTGCTGTAGAATGTCCAAGAGAGCTGGACCAGTATTCTATCTCTCTTCACGCTTTGAATTGAAACTTATGAATCCACAGTGCCATTGAATAGGTAGAACAGATACCACCCCATCACCAGCACGCAAATGCATGACATTCACTGCCCTTCCTGCTCGTTCAACTGCATGGTAGTCTGCATGTAACACTAGATTCCTCGACGCAACAACTAGCACGAATCAAAGGAATCCTTGCAGACATTTGCAGACTTGATAGAAAAATAGCATGGCAGCAAGGAGATGTCTCACTTCTCTGCTCAGCGACGTAGCACCGTCAGGCTGTCTTGCGGATGGGTTTGGTCATTCTTTGCCCTGGTTTTGCAGGCTGGAGGCCTGGCGGAGAAGATGTCATCTATGGAGATGTTGGTTCTCCTGGTGGCTTGTCTCTGCCATGACCTGGACCACAGGGGAACAAACAACGCGTTTCAGCAGAAGTAAGTAGCAATTACATCACATTAATGAAATCTGAAAATATCTGAAATTAATGTCTCCCTAGGACTCTTTAAGTGAACATGTTTAACATGAGTATTTATATGGGCTTTAATAGGGTATGAATTAAACAAACATCTTTGATATCTATCTCATCTGTGATATCTAGGACAGTCTAAACCTGTTGTGTCTAAGTGATTTAGACATCATTTTTTAGTATCTGTCTTTGTGATTGGTCCGTGTATTTGGGGGATATGGCTGTAAAAGTTATTGTTAAAAGTAGCTGTGTATGTATATGTACTTGTACCTGTACTTGTCTCCATGATTTGAATAAAAGTGGTAAAAAAAAGTGAGTAGCAAGGTGGTCTTAGGGTAGGGTTGTTGACTCAGAATCTGAAGGTTCATGGTTCGAATCCCGGGGCAGGCCCCGATGTTGTGCCCTTGGGAAAGGCACTTAACACCTATTTCCTCACTCGACTCAGTAAAATGAGATTAGGGACGTCCTCTCGGATTGGACGTAAAGCCGAAGATCCCATGTTTAATGGCGGCCACACCTCAAGCACGTTACTTCCACCACATAATGATCCACGCCTTACAGTCTGGACACAGGGTTGACATCTCGGAAAGGGTCATAGTCTCGACATATAGATACAAAAACATAGTATGTCGAGTTCACAAAGATAAGAGGTGGGACGGGAAATGTGTTGTTTTACATTTTGTACGTGAATTTGACGCTGTTTATTTTTGTTTTTGCAGGAGTCAGTCGCCGCTTGCCAAGCTGTACGGGACTTTCGCCACCATGGAGCATCACCATTTCAACCACGCTGTCATGATTCTCAATAATCAGGTAGAAACTAGCAATCGTCATTGATTAGCCTCTGATAACAACTCTAGCTTAAATTACAATAGAAATAAATAGAGGGGCAAAGAATTAAATCAATAAATTATACGCAGGCTCCTGGAAGTAGCTTACTCCTGTTGACCACATTTATTAAGAAAGAAAAAAAAACACATCAAATATGAACATTAACTACATATGCATATACATAAACTCTATGGAAAAAAAAGAGTGACATTATTGTTATCTTAATCAGCATTTGCTTCACTATTCTACAAGCAGTCGTTCGTTCGTTTCATCATTTCTTGTCTTACCAAAAGCACCGGCCTTTGATTTTATTTTATTTATTGGGATTTTGACATTGCAGTACATGTGGGACACAAGCAACTATTGGTGTTGTGCTGACCCGCACATAAGTATTACAGAATACGTAGAAAGACAACTGAAACTGATTACTCTTGCCCTCCAGAGCCACAACATCTTCTCCAACCTGACGAACGAAGAGTACAGTAAGGTGATGAAGATGCTCAAACACGCCATCTTGTCGACGGACCTCACGCTGCATTTCCAGTGAGTACGGCAAACACGAATCAAAACATACTGATCTCCAAGCAGATTCTACGGCGACAAGGTTGTATCCATTGGCCCTGTTGTGTTTCAAACCGTGCCTGTCCCAAACCGTGCCTGAGCGGGCACAGAACGGGACACAGCTTGACTGTCCACAACCGTGCCCGGAAGTGCTGTCCATTATAGTGATTGGCGGGGACCAGGTACGGTTTGGGACAAGGCTATCGCGTGTCCAGAACTGTGATCAGTCCCCAGGCACGCTTTTGGACACAACAGGTATCAATGGTCACTGTTTGACCAATGGATACCGCCTTGCCACCGCAGGATTTGCTCACAGGTTATAGAAACTGATACATACACGTTGAGTAGCTGTAACTACTCGTACATATATATATACAGCCCCATGTGCACGCTTTGGCATATATACGTAGGAGTTGACAAAGAGGACCTGGGACCAGCTATCGATGGTCTCCGATTGTTACTTAGACTTACCCCGTCCCGTGGTTTAATATATGATATTTTTGCATTTTTTCTTTTTCATCTTGAAAATGTAATGTTATGAGGACTTAACAGTTGGAAGACTAAGAATGAACATTGACAGTGCCTTCTCTTGTCGACTTCAGAATACGGAAGGAGTTCTTTTCCCTTGCGAGCAGCGGAGAGTTTGACAGAAATGACAAGAAGCATCGCGAAATGTTACGGTTAGTGTGTAATAGATCATTCTTGCCAATGGACAAATCATTGTCCCCCACGATATTTCATATATTACAAACCGCGTTTTACTTAATGAAAACATTCAAGTATGTAATAAAGAAACCTGGAAAGAAAATGTTAGCCTATCCTGATATCAGTTATCATTTTGCTGTTGATATTTCATATATGAAGGCAAGATATTGAAAATGAAAGCTCTCTTCAGGAGTAAACTTCAGTCTGTGAATGTGGGTACTTTTCAGAGGTATGCTGATGACTGCGTGTGATCTAGCTGCCGTCACCAAGCCCTGGGAAATACAGAAAAAGGTGGGTCCAACAGCAACATATTAGCACTAGATTTGTATTAGATGTATCGTATGTCATCTCATGTCCATCAGCAATGACCATACAGTAGGATAACTATGTGAATTTATCTCTAATTGCTTTAAAAAAGAGAGAAGAAATCTTCAAGGCCTAGATTAGTTTAATCTCTAGTAGTTGTTAAGACTTTTTTCTTATTCTGTTATCCTTGTATTCTATGTATCATGTTACTCAGTACGATGTACATGTAACATCACATTCTGATGTATGCATTTAGCCCCACGGGCATGAGCATGCAATTAAAGATTCATTAAAGATTAAAATGAAGGCTCATCTGTATTGGTACGAAACGAACTTAAGTTTTTTTATTGTAATTTAACACGAATGTTTTAACTGTATCCACCTGTCTTTGTAATAAAAAATTTCCAACTTTCCTGACTTTCGAACGTGTGACGTCAGGAGTGGGTCAAAGGTCACCGGAAGTCGATACCTGCCGCCGGTTGTGGATTAGGAGACTGGGACATATCATATTTCATGTGTGAGAGGGAATTAGCTAACCACTACACGCAGATTAATTATAAGACAAACTTTTTTACACTTTTCTTCACAGGTTGCCGAACTGGTGACGAGTGAGTTTTTTGACCAGGGAGACAAGGAACGCGCTGAGCTCAACTTGGAGCCTGCGGTATGAGAATTATTAGCTAATAACTTGTCAGCTGATATTAATTGATATTAAGTGGTGATTTATGCAATAATAAAAGTAATAGTAATATGATAAGAATTGTTTATTGATTGATCGATGGGTACAATCTCTAGCATGCGGCAGCGCAATTAAGTAAGTAGCGCTGAATTGTATGCTAGTGTTAAAACAAATATTGCACAGTTAACATATAGATAAATAAACAAATTCAATGTTATTCAATGATAAGGAAAACCACGAATCATCGCAATAAAGGGGTAAAGTAACGATGATGACAGAAACAAGAACAACTCGAACCTCAATAAAACGCCATCATGTGATCGTATAGTCATTACAGTCCAGGGTGGTCGTGCATGAACTTTACTTTACTTTACTTTATTGGGGACTGACAACACATCAGTACACGGGCCATCAGTCGAAACTGGTAGTAGATGACCCACAAATACAGACGTTATACAAACATAGATAAAGAAATCTAACTGCAAAGTACAGAACAAGAAATAATGTTAACGTCCTTAATTGGTGGCAGAAGACAATACAATATACACGTAGTACGAACAGATAAATATGCAAAAAATATTCTTATCTAACAAGTTACATATTGCAATATAAGTGACAGCTAGTACTGCCCATATAGCATCCTTAATAAAACAGAAATGTGTGAAATTTCACCTTCTCGTTCCAGGCTTTGTTTGACAGGCGAAGAAAAGACGATCTGCCGGAGATGCAGCTGGGATGGATAGACAGCGTCTGCTATCCACTCTATGAGGTGAGCAGAAAATCTTTTATGTTTACCTTGACAGAAGGAAAACATTTTGTTTTCGCTCAGTTTCTTCGTCTTCTTCTTCTTTACCCACTTGGCAACTACGGACAATGACCTGGAAAGGACAGTTGTCACTACGGTGCTGTAACAGGCAACATGCGGTGTTGGGTTACATTATGTAGCAAGTGGCAGGACAGTTGGAGGGGCTGGTCACCGTACATATAAATTTGTTTCAAGTATGAATAAACAGAGCAGTAGCTTTATGGGACAGACCATGTGCAGGTGAAAATTATGTATTTGATTTCTAGTAACTTTTCCATCAAGTAAAGATGTGAATAAGTCAATTAAACTGAGCAGTAAGGTACTGTAATTTGGTAAAAACTGCAATGTAGCATTTCATTCTAGGCTCTGGTAAAAGTGGAACCAAGACTAGCACCTTTAAGGGACGGAGTCTCTGCGAATCGGGAAAAGTGGCTGAAACTTAACGAGGAGAGAAAGAGCAGCATGAGTGTACAAAGTGACGAGGACAGAGCCATGGCTGGCAGCACTGACTCCGGCGGGGAGGACCCTAGCAGTGTCACGGCAGAATACAGGGAAGAAGAAGCCCTACGCAGAAGTTTCGACAGTATAGAGGAAGGCCCTTCCAGTCCGAAAGCGCCTCCCCCTACTCCAAGGGAAGTTAAAGCCGTTCACTTCCAAGAACCCTTGTTCGAGCGGAGGGGGTTGACCTCTAAACGGCACAGCATCACGGGAAGACCGTTCGATCGTAGGTTAAAGGTTCAAACGAGCATTTCCGAGCGGCAGATCATCGTGTCCAGGAAATGGAGAAGTTACGAGGAGAAAGGAGGCGAAGGCGCACAGTCTTGACGAAAAACTTTACATCTGAAATGTTGTTTGCACGACGCCATCTTGGATTCGATTCGAATGGCATGATGGGACAATCCGACAACCTCGGCCCATCGGCTCCTGTGGTTTGTTGTGGACCAATAAATGGCTCCTATTGGTGGACTCGTTTCCATGCCAGAGAGGCCCGGATGTTTGGAGGAAAGAACGGACGCGAATATTACCGTAGAAGGTTGTGAATTCAAACTTCATGACTTGAATTGTTTTGAAGAACTGTGATAGATTCGTTCCAAAACAGGACTGAGAGCTCGTCCATAGGAGCCGTGCCTTGCCATGGATGAGATGTACTTATTAGGTATTCAATGAATTTCAAATGTTCTAATTCTTTTCTATTGTTGGTGAGGGCTATATCGTACAAAAGGGGAGTGTAGTTATGTATAATTTATAAAGCTGGCTACAATTTTTGCTGGCTCATACATTAAATACAAATTTTATTAGTCATACGTAATCATTTTTAGGAATTTTGAAACATGCCAATGCAGATATAATGAAGGCATTTAGAACCGTTAAGAATATCACAATGGAAGATACCATTTTCTTTTTGTCTACTGATCGATTTTTCAGATTACGACAAAACACGAAAACAAAAATATGGATGTATTACTGATAATACGCACTTGTTACGTTTGACTACCTGAAACATCTTTGAGCACAACATTCCAATTTTAGAACAAAGTACTTACAATAAGCGATATGTAAACTTGTTAAAACCTGTACCTAAAACAAAACGTAACACGTTTCACAATTTCCTTTTCTTGTCTAAAAAAACAACAGACATATCTCCGTATTTTTGGAGGTCTTGTATAGTATACATAATCGTGCCTATCCAGTACAAACTATAAATTGTCTGCACCGAATGCGACCAATGCAAGAAGTTACTGGACGATTGTTTGTACTGAATTCTCTATATATACATTATCTAGTGGACTCAAGTCGTTGTACTGGCAGAACAATATTTCATGTTGTGACACTTGTAATGTATTATTACTGCTGTGAAGTACTATATGTGTCATATTGCAAGTGCAAGCCCCTACAGAGTATGGATATAGCGTGGGTATTCTATTTGATAAAGCTTACGTTAAGTTTTAATACTTTAGTTAGACAAACATCGTCTTCGAATACCCCATGCATATCCTTTTTTAGGACATCATTGACGATTGAAATCTTTTAGAATATGAAGTATTAACAGAAATATTGACGGTTGTGTTAGCTAAACTTTCTGCCACAACTCATTTTAGAGTCCTCATTGACGATTGCATTTGCCGAACACTGCCAATATATTTATGAACGTGAACATTTCTAAATAACCCCAGATGATGATACAAAAAGAAGGTTACACACATAGAATGCAGATTAAGTGAAATTGTGTACGTGGCCCAAGAAAATGTTGACTTGTCGACGACTTCAACAGTGTTTTCTACCAGCTGACAAACCTCTCTTTAGTAGAAGTGCCATGAACTTCACAACAAAATCGGTAGGGGGCGCACTCGCTCCACCGTTAGCACAATTTGGGGCAGGTCAGCCAACCATTCAATTTACTCTTTGTGGTCATGCATCTGCGTTTCTATAAGAATTCTACAGAATCAACTTAACATAGAAAAAAATAAACTGTGATTAGCAATTATTGGCTGTGGTTTATTGGCTTGTCTTAGACAGCAAATGAAAGTACAGACTTGAGTGAACTTTGCGGCCAAGGAGTTGGTTTCTCTTGGTTCGATGGTTCCGATCGAACACCAGGCTACGTTCCCGATCGAACACTAGAAGCCCCTTGGTCAAAGTCATTTTCATTTTGACCAATAAGCTCCTTCCTTTGACCAAGGACATCATACTACAAGTATAATGCCCTTGCTTTGACGGAGGTTTTCGAAAGTGTTCGAAATAGAACAGGGGGGGTCGATGTGTTCGACTGCGAATATGGCGCCAAGGTTACATCTGGATGACGCCCCATTGCTGCTAAGCGGTGATTGGTTACATCTGGATGACGTCCCATTGCTGCTAAGCGGTGATTGGTTACATCTGGATGACGTCCCACTGCTGCTTGGCTGTGATTGGGTAGGCCTTGGTCGTGACCTTGACCACTTCACCGTCGGATCCCTCCGCCGTGAGGCACAGAGAGGAGTCCTGTCCGGACATGAGCGTCTTGTCCTCGTCTCCATGGAACCACTTCTGGTTAAAGCCCTGGGCAAGGTAATCAGAGGTGATAATATAGGTCAGAAAAGAACAAGAGATAGTCATGACTTCATATCAAGTACCAGTTATCAACCAAGGATTGAGGTGTTCGTTTTTCTCTTACCTAAAACTATCGTAGAGTGGGAATTGCTGCCACTACTTCTAAGAACAGTAGGGGGCATCATTACTAGATCGCTTTAAACAATGCTTAATATATTTCTGAGTCATTTACATGACTATTGGTCATTGACAAACGTTTTGACAAAGTTTGAATCTGCGCACGAGAATGTGTTGCCAGGTTTACCTTATTGCAGGGTCCCATGGCGCAGCAGTCATTCGGGACGAACTGACAGGCCAGTTCGTGATCACCTGATGTCAGGTTGGTGCAGAGAACAGAGTCCGAATACCGGAAGATCTAAGAAACACAGGCAAGCATTGTCCTAGTAACGTTACATCCATCAAGGAGGTTCTAGTGGAGTTATAGAACCACTATAACCTCCTTGCATCTATCAATGGTAACCTATGGGGGAAGGTTATATTGCACCCAATGCAGTATCAGTGGAATATATATTTTGAAACCTGGATATTAGAAAATCTGTATGATATTGTGTAGGACGTACTGCGTTTGCCTTTGGACGCTTGCACATGATATGTTGCATCATGATCATACAAACATTTGAAAACTACTGACGGGATAACATCCTTAAACGCGCAAATACAACCTTAAAGGCGGCCAGAAACTACTTTTTTAAAGCCCACTGCAGCCTAATAAGTATACCAAAAAGTACAATTCTTACTAACAGATTAGCGTTGTTACACCATTTGAAACTCGCGCCATGGTGAGGTCTAATTACGTTAGGTTGAAATTTTACCGTAGTGTTATATGCAAAATACATATCCAGGCGCAGAGTGGAACGCACTGTCACCAAGTACAGTAGGGGCATTGTCATTAGATAGCTTTAAACAACGTCTAGAGTTAGAAGTTCAAGGGTTAGGTGTAACAAGTCGATCGGTGTAATGTAGCCAGCTGCCGCCGCGCCGCGTGCCTGCGAAGCTGGTCTGTTACGCCGAAAGTCGGTTATACCGGCTATGCAGATACAGATACCGGCTATACAGAGTACGTTCTACCGACGTGCTTTGCGTGAAGCAGACGCCCATCACCCCCCTCCCCCCACCGACCTGACTGTCGTCTCCCCCGATGTTTGGCTTCAGGACGAGCTGTGAGTTTGCCGGGTCGCCCTTGTCGGCTACCGTCAGCAGGAGCCCCTTCACGGCATGGCGTATGTACACATATTTCACCGACATGTTGTCTTTGTAGCTTATTCCTGTAGGCAGCACAAAAACGTTATGTTTTGCCTTCATTGCACAATGATAGTATCCGGGAGTCGTAAACTGTAAACCAGAAAGCCAGCCAGTAAAACGTCCCCAAATCAACTAAAACTCAAATCGACCATCACAGTTTTTGTGAGTGTAGGTTACGTTATGCGTTAATAGGTTTTCCTGTGTATGTGTAACTTAATATGTGACTTCAGGAAGACTTAGTACTCACTTAAATGAAGATCTGCCAAATAAACAAAGAAATAAACAAACAAACAAACAAACACAGTGCTTCAGATATACATGTTATACAGGTTTCACAATCGACCAGAGCACTGGGTTAAAAAGCTATTTTCATACTAGAATACAACAATTATTGCACTGCAGACCAATGTTGGCCCTCCCTCCCCCATCGTACCCTTTTCACTAAAACTGCTCCATTGATCAACCTCAGACTACATGAACATGACCAACTGCTGCACTGTCATTGTACGTTTCATGTCTGTACTAATAATAAATTGTAAACATACAGACATAAAATATTAGATTAGTCTGTAAACATTTAAGTTAAGGTATAATTTAGCCCTACTTACCTCGCTTAACGAATGTGGACAGTACGTGCAAATGTGAAGGTGGGGCTTAACAGTTAACTTACCAATACCAGTTTTTCAACTCATTTAATTGTCATAGGGCAGGTTAAAACTCGTTACTGTTTTCCGTCACTAGCATTGTGGACTGATCAGACATATTAATAACATCTGGTTCATCTTTGATCTTTATTCTTGCTATATAGATTTTTCCTTAACAGTTTTAAGTAGACCTAGCTCCTTTATAATTACTACATAACCTGGGCAACTCTCTTTTTAAATGTTATTGGGCAGGTTAAAATTAGTAGCTGTTTTCCGTCACTGTCAACTGAACATACCTTAACTATGCTCTGTGTTTGTTCCCTTTTCTTGCCATATAGATTTTTTAAGAAGACCTAGATCAGCTTTCAAGTAGACCTAGCTCATTTATAATTACTACGTACATAACCTGGGCGACGTAAAAACAGTGGATTAGATGACCATAGCAAATTGTGAAGGACATAGGTGGGATTGGTATGTTATTATGTACTTGAATGAAATCATGTCATAAAACTATATATTTCGCACCTTTCGAAGTCACATTCTCGATAAAAGTACAAAAAATAGTGAATTAGGTGACCACTAGAAATTGTGAAGGACATAGGTGGGATTGATATGTTATTGTGCACTTGAATAAAATCATGTCATAAAACTATAAATTGCGCACCTTTTTAAGTCACATTCTCGATAAAAGTACAAAAGCAGTGAATCAAATGACTACGGCAAACTGTGAAGGACATAGGTGGAAAATTGATATGGTATGTCGCATTTGAATGAAATTATGTCACAAAACTATAAATTGCGCACTGTTCGAAGTCACATAAAAGTCGATAAAAGTACACTTAACTGAGACGATTTTTACACATAACATATAGTTCAAGGTTTTTATATACATAGTTGACATATACTCATGCCAGTTCGGTGGATCAACACTGAGAAATCTTAACCCCATACCGAGGTATAGGACTAGCTTCGGGCTGCGTACACAGCGTACAATAGACAGTTGTTCACAAGGATGGTCATTGACCTAATAAGATTGATGACGTCAAACATCTACGTCAAAACTGTCATTCAGGTCAAAAGTTCACCTTCTGAACTTTCCCATATTGCCGACAGGTGTTGGGGGCGTGTCCGTATGCAGCTATCCTGACAAGGGAGACTTGTCAACAAGTCTTGATAAAATCAGAGGCGTTTCAATCACCGACATCCTGACGCCTTTCCAGGGTTATATCTTTTGTTCATTCGCCTGTAATTCACGAAAAACCGTCTAGAAACAACCCTCCACTTTCTGTCTGCCGTTTAGCGTTGACAAGTTCAGATGTCTATCACAGTCTGTGACAGAACGCAAAACCATCGGTCTGTGACAGTGTAGTGTCTTTTTCATCGTCTCGGTGGTTGTCTGTGATCGAACGCTTTGAGTTGATTTTTTTTAATTGCAACAGTGCAATACAACGCGGAACAGAGGCAGCTGTTGCTGTGCCCCGCACATAGAAACGAATACTGGACAGACAATACTCATTTTTACTTGAGACTAGTGGGTCGAAAGTCGTGTAAAATGCCTTTCCCAAGGGCACAAGATCGGTGGCATGTCAGGACACGAACCCGGGACCTCTTGGTTCCGAGTTGACCACGCTACCGTTGTTGTATCTTCAGACGTATTGACTTAATGTCTTGATATCTCAAAACGAATTGTGTAAGGAATTTCAGACAAAGATAATTAGAAAGATAACAGATTTCGTTACTTAGAAAATGATGACAAAAGTTTCACCAAGATGTAGTTACTATCATTTATTATTCCCACTTAAAAAAACATATTAAGCAAACAAGCACTACAACTGATCAATATATACAGTCACACGCATGCTAGTTCGAATTCGAATGTTTGGGGAAAGGCAGAACCAAGATGGCGGTCATGGCGCATGCGCACTCTACATGGCCTCCCAGTCCCAGAGCTGGCTGGCCGGGGGAGGGTTTCCCTTCTGTTCCACCTTCAGATGGTCGCCTGAAATAGAGGAACAAAAAGAAAAACACATTAAAACTGCTTATCTTTTTTTATTCTATGTATATCACATAATATTAAATCATTTTATGTCATCCTCTTTTTATGTTTACCTTCCCAGATCTGGAAGAAAAAAGATGAGAAAGATGTAAAAACATTGCTTTTGCTCTGTTTCTTCATCTTCTCCAAACACATATGGTCAATGATCTGGGCCAGACGGCTGTTATGTTACCTTGGTAACTGGTGCTGTAGCGGACATCATGTGGTGTTGGGTTACTAGTGCATTATGTAGCAAGACCGAGCTGAGTGGTGGGGGCATGGTTATCATATTCTAGGCCATAGTAGTTTGTCATGTTGACCATGTAAAGCAGTAATTATGCGTTTGCTATATATTCTCTAGTTGTATGCCCTTTTCAGAGTAGTACACGGAGATACACGGTGCTCTGTTTGATCTTTATCAAAGTTTTAAACTACGCTAGTTGAAGTTGGAGAGACATTCTGGTTCTTTACCCTGGTTTCCCGCGCCTGCGCTGAGCACGTACTGAGGATCATCGTAACAGGCGATGGTGCCGTCAGCATTGCGGAGCCACATCTGGTCTTTAGCCTTGGTAGGATCCTGAGGGGAGAATTACAACGTTAAAGTCACCCACGTTAAAGTCAAGTCGAAGTCAAGAAGGGAGACTTGTCATGAAGTCTTGATAAAATCAAAGGCGTTTCAATCACCGACATTCTGACGCCTTTTCAGAGTTATGTCTTTTGTTCCTTTTCCTGCAATTTACGCAAAACCGTCAAGAAACAGCCCTCCACTTTCTGTCTGCCGTTTAGTGTTGACAAGTTCAGATTTATATCTCTGTCTCAGACAGAACGCAGAACCATTGGTGTGTATAATGTTTTAATGACAGTAGAAGCCAATTAATTGCACAGCGGTTGTTTGCACTGTCCCGTCAATTCTACCAAATCCCTAAATCCTAAACCGTTTACCAATTCACTCCATATTGTTAGTGAGATCGGCTTTCTTCATCGTGCAGTATATATAAGCCAATTGCTGATGAGATGCACCAAAATTCGCCAAACATCGTCGGCAAATGAACTGGAAACAAGCGCTAAAATCATCAAACACGGTACTTTACCATCAAAAGCTCACTTTTTAAAGTCATCTTTTTTTTACAAAAGTACAATGACGGATCAAGGTTTCACACCTGACATTTGGCTCTTGGTTTACAGTGTTTTTAAGGCTGACATACAATAATGTGATTTCGGTAGATAAACTCTGATGAATCGTACACCCAGACATAAGGTTAGGAATAGCTTCAGGCTACACGGCGTACAATAGGCAGTCCTCGACATGAATGATGATTAAACATTAGGCCACACCAAGTAAATTTTATAGATGACGTCCTTTGGAGACCCTAAATCTAATGCGAGAGGGCGAAAAAAAACAAAAAGGGCCCTAAAAAACAAGATGCCTAGATTAGAAATGAACTAAGAGACGATAAATGTTAGGACACAAATTGAATGAGGTGACATGTGCAGTGTAACAAGCAAGAAGTCTTTTATTCATCATCAAAACAGCAATAAATCAGGTGGAACAGCAATCTGACGATTTGTGGCACTGTCGCGACTCTTTGGTCATTGTTACAGGAAGTGGAATTTCTTGTTTATTTTTCTAGGAACAGGCCAAAATCAATGCGCGCGCGGACGTCATCCATAAAATTTACTTGGTGTGGCCTTAGATTGATGGTTTGACGTAAATCATCTCCGTCTAGACTGAGCCGGTTTGATCCAGCCTCTACCAGATTTCTAAAGCGGTTGGGAAGAGTAGAAATTAGACAGATAACATGCCCCAGGGGCTTGGTCAGAGTGGCCAATTGAGCACCTTCAGTCGGACAAACTCTCCTGGCATGTTTTCTGTCTACTTGGCAAATTTCTACTCTTTTCCAGACACTTCTGAAGCTAGGTAGAGGCGGAAAATTGTACTCCTTTAGCGGACCAACTCTGAGTCTCATAGCATAACATCTGTATATTTGCCAATTTCTTAGCTTCTGTAGCTTGGTAGAGGCTGTGTTTAATCTACATTGATTTCAACCAACATGCATGAGTTACAGGAGGAATTGCTAATGTACATGAGGGATGTATATATCGCCTGTCTCGTCCGTTGTAATTTGTGATTTGTTTATATTATATATATTACTATGCAGACTTTCTGCAGTTCATGGAGTTTTATCCCTGCTGTAAGATTTACTATTTGGTGTCATGAATATAATAGAATGAAATAATTCTAATGCAGTAAGTAGACACGAATTGAAGTCCGTCTTACGTACCTTCTCGCAGACAGACATGATGACCTGGCCGGTAGAACGGTCATGGATGTGGATAGCGACGTCCTCTCCACCTGGCTTCAGGGCAGTGCAGATCTGGTTGTACTTGTTGTGGCTCCATTTCTGAAGACAAAAAAAAACATAAAATAGACATTCAAGTAGTGATGAGAACTAAAATGTAGCCTAGGATCCCGGCATCCCTACGAGATATTTGCCGGTTGTAGTAGTCACCTACAAGTACCAGAATTATCAACCAACGTTTGAGGTGATCAAAAAGACATTCTTTCCTAGAACTGTCACAGATTAGAACTCACTGTCACCAAGTTGAGTTGGCACATTATTATGGCTTCACTACACATACTAAAGCCCAATAAAAAAGCCTAAAAACACGCCAAAAATTAGCCGAAGCCTAAACGTCTACATGGAGAGCAACTTCTCTCCAAGCAGAAGTTTGGGTTTTGGCTTATTTTTGGCGTGTTTCTAGACTTTTTATCGCGCTTTATTTTTGGGCTGGTATATTTTTTTACGCCAAACCAACTTGGCCCGATAAAGAAGCCTGAAAACACGCCCAAAATAAGCCCAAACCCAAACCTCTGCTTGGAGAGTAAAGAACAACATGGGTACTCATACCTGGTTGTCCTGCGCATGCTTGTCGAACAGCAGGACGGGAGAGTTGATGACTTGACCCCCCCGCTCCACGTCCAGCACACGGCCCGACCCGCGGTTCTTTATCACGTACATCTGGTCATGAGACATGGCTGCTCGCTTCTTCAGTCCTTCCACAAGCTCTGTGTAATTAGAGAGACAACCGATGTTACAGGGGTGCCAGAGAATACAGTGCAATTTTACGGAATACAGTGCAATAGTATCAGTATACAGTGCAACTTTACGGCATACAGTGCAATCATATTAGTATACAGTGCAATTGTACTAGTAAAATTGCACTGTATACTAATACGATTGCACTGTATGCCGTAAAATTACATTGCATACTCTTGCACCCCTGTGTTACCTCAAGAAACAGTTACTCAAGCAACTGGATATGATTTGTTGCTTCAGTGACTGTTTTTGGCGTATGTTATTACCTGAATTTCTAACCGTCACCGACGAAACGCTGTTAGTGTTACTTGTTTGGTAGACAGTCAGAAGAACAATGCCCTACAGTGTAGCGAGACTGTGTACGTGTTTTACGTGCTCCTGACGCAGGTTTGAGTGGACAAACCGGTTCGTGTCACGTCCTGTCGTCTGCATTCTGAATATAAGATATGATCTCCAAGCAGATATTAATCTCCGAACAGATATTTTGGTGGCTTCAAGACAGTATCAAATTACAACACATTATTCAATGGTCAGGTAGTTACCATTTGGTTGGTATAAAAGAGATACTACTACAAAAGGACAGTCCAACAAAAATGCCTAGAACACGTCAAAAATAAGCCAAATCCTAAACCTCTGCAGAGAAGCTGAATTTGCCATTTAGTCACGTTTTCAAGCTAGTTCTAGTTCTAGTTCTAGTTCTAGTTCTAGTTCTAGCTACTACTCTGCAAATTCCCTACATACAGGGACATCGCGCAGAGGGGAGATATACACATGATTACGGAAGTGACGATAAACGATTCTTAAAAGTTTGTAATGATGGACTCTCAGCTACGTCGGCAGAAAGGTTATTCCATTCAGGAATTGTCCTAGCATAGAATGAGTATTTTGCAATGTCACAGTGTGGTCTCAGAGTCTTGTACTTGTGGGCGTGGTTGGCACGGGTACGAGCAACTGCCGAGATAAGCCGACTGGATGGGATAGCCACGAGACCATTGGTTATCTTATACATCATTACTAGTCGTGCTTGCTGTCGTCGAGACTGAAGTGACGGCCATCTCAGGTCATACAGGAGGGCTAGCTTATTCTTTGACTTCGTAGCTTATAACTTGAGAAGAATTAAGCTAGATTGGAGCCATGTTGACTTGTTCCCACCCCAACCTTTAAACTACATTTAACTACCGTTAAACGCATCTCTGTCTGGTGTAGTGTGCTATCTAATTATCCTGCGGTTTGCACAGTCATTAGCGTAACGACAGCAAATGTTGTAATGATAGTTCTTGGTCATCCTCAAATGGTGGACCAACAACATGATTGGTCCTGATACATACATGGCCTCCTTCTGTCAATATTGACCACGGTTAAATCCTTAGTCAAAAATAGGTGGGTAAAAAGATTAAGAAAAGGGCACTAAGCAAGAGAGTTTACCAAGTAGTATTGATCTGATGTGACATCTGTGGGTGGTCTGTCGGTGTATGGGAGACCCTGGATACACAATGTACATAGATATCGCCTTGAGCGTTCACCGTCCTTGTCAGCGACGAATCTATAGCTACTGCCCTCATTGTTCTCTCTACAAGCCCCTGTGCCACATTCAAATCCTTCCCCCCTATTACCAACCAAGGTTGGCTGAAGTTCGGGAGAAGTCTATTATACCAGATGTCGGGCACGCCTACCTTTCTGTACGAATCGAGTCGAATTTGAGTCAAATATGAGTCAAATTTGACTCTCGAACACGCCCGATCACTTCCGACGTATGGCCCAACCTCAAGTCCACAGCCGAATGTTTGAAATATTTTGAAACGCTCGGCTGGTGTAGCCAAGCAGTGCTCGCCTATTTGTGACAGGGGTTTAACAGAAGCATCGCCCGTGTGATTCAACAAATCACATATAATTTACATTTCTGCCCTCGAAATATTGTTTTTCTTACCCGAATACAATTTCTTGACCGATTTTGAACACTAATTTTCAATACTTATGAAGATTAAGTGTAACACATCGTCCATATGGAAGGCCTGGTGAGAAATTTGTGCGTTGGCATCTCCTTGAGTTCACGCCCACTTTAAAGAATCCCGGTGAGGATTACTTGAGAACACCTGGATTTTCTGAAGAATTCTGGCATTTCTTATGATAATGAAGATTTTTAAAGCACTTTGTTACCTGAGATTGTCTTGAAAGAACTTCTCCCATGTGATTTAAGACGCACAGTCTTATCAATTCTTCGCATATTGATTCCTCTAACGTATGCGAAAAAAATAAGAAAATCTAAGAAGTTACAGTTTACAAACTGAAGAGGAATTGCAAAGTTATTGAGTAGAAATTATAGCTAGGTCAAATGTGCCAGAAGACAGTACGGAAGGTGGCCAAATTAATTGTTGGAAGAGTTGTTCCGATAAAGAAGTACAGTTTACCGCTGCTCTATTAGCGGACTATCGTCAACTGACATGTTATCTGTCTATTTGGCCAATTTCTACTCGTTGAAACGCTTCTACAAATGTACATGATCTGATGTCTGGTAGTAGAGGCTAGCCTCTACTGGCATTTTACTGTAGAGATCGGTAAGTGTTTTTCTCTTTCTGATATTGCCTATATTTACCGGGAAATGACATACTGTACGTATTAACGGAGCAACTCCCCTGTCATGTTATCTGTCTATATAATTCAGTCAATTTTAATTCTTTCCAGCCAATTCTGAAACCTGGTGGAAGGTAGCCTTTACTGGCATTTTACTATAGAGATCAGTAGGTGATAATCATTAACGGTTCGCGATATTCCCTAAGTTCGTCACACTTACCTTTTGGAACTCACCGACGGTGTCCTGTCCGTTTGAAGGCGTCTTCTGGAGTGAAGCTAGTTGGGTGGAGCTCATGGACTGAGGAATGCTGTCTGACGTGGAATCACGTGTTATTAACTGTCCAATTAGATAGGTAATCTCCAAGGAGATCTTTTGGATTACAAAAAATATAGCCCGATAAAAACGCGTCAAAAATTCTAAACCTGAAGCTTAAAGAGTATTAAATGAATGGCATGTCTAATTGTATGTGCTTCCATGCTGTTTATGTCATTAAAAAAAGATTATCCCCTATTGGTCAGACAAAACGCTACACAAAACGTTCTATTTCACAGTAGCTTCCTCAAGACAAACAAAGATTTAGCAAAAATGGAAATGCACGGAACCCTCTGTCATCCAACTATTTCTATTGAGCCATTTTTCTTAAAATTTCTAAAAATTCACGCCACTGTTAGCAGTATATAGATACCTTTTTTATAGTGCAGAAATATGAAATATTTATTTTTCTTTCTCCTGTTCCACAGTTCTTATTATTTTTCAAAGAACATTGTCAGCAAATACATGAATAAACCACCATGCGAAATGTGAGCTACAAGGCTTTATTGACGTTAGCAAAGCGACCCCCTATAGCACCATGGGTAGGAATCTATCAATATTTAGCGATAATTGTAACATCTGTTTCATGTACTCTGTCTTAACTGAGCATTGACACCAAGTATCTTTCTTGATCTTAACCTTTTGTTAATATACAATTCTTGATGTTCTTCCATTTTTAAATCCATTTTGTACAGATTTATGCAGTTAGACGACTTCTCAGAACTAGACTAGACTTAGGTCTAAAATGTGTTTTATAAGTCCGTTTTACTCACGATAACACAGTGCAGTATATGAAATAATGCTGTGCAAGAAATTAGCAAAGCTAAGATGACTACAATCTTCTAATTCGACTGCGATGCGCTTGCTTGCATGCGTTCTTGCCGCCATCTTGGATGACGTGGTTGATGACGTAATTGCTTAGCATGGCACCCACTCCCACTGCTGGCTGCTGGTTGGTGGGTTCGCACGGCGCTTCACCACGATACGCTCCTCTGTAGACCAATGAGAGAACAAGATTGGCAATGAAAACATACATTGTCATGGCGACGGTGGTTGCTGTTAGGGTTATTGTTTGCACGGCCTGTACGATTCCTAGAATTCTTGCAAATTGCACACAATACTGTACCGTTTGGCTCCTCCCTGAGACATCGCCAAAAAACAGATTTTCATTACAAAAGATGTTGAATGAAGCTATAAGCCTCTCGATTCAGGCTAGCTAATACAGAAAGCCTTCTCTCATTAACTTTTGCAGACGTGTAAGAGAGCTGACATCTCACCGAAATATGGTTTGATCACTACGGTATACACCGGTCATTTGAAGACATTCGCTTACAGGAACGTTAGACTTTTTCCACTAAAATTCATGTCACTTATGATCAACTTAAGATTTAGGTTTTGAAATCGGAGACACTTTAAGAGCATCCTGATCGGGGTCTTTGTCGAAAAAAAAACGGTTGGAATCTCGTTGATTCTGCTAGATTACGACTCCACCATGGCATGTATGTATTGCCATGTAAGCTGCCGGTGCGAAAAACTGTACTCCTAGATCCTTTAGCGGACCAACTTGCCTAGAATGTTATCTGTCTATTTGGCCAATTTTTACTCTTTCCAGCCGCTTCTTAAGCCTGGTAGAGGCTAATATACGTCCGAGACTATGCTTACCCTTGGCCTGGCCGCCACAGTCCAGGACCCAGTCGGTGTCGTCCTTACAGGCGATGGTCCCGTCAGCTCCGAACACCGACCACTGCTGGTCCTTAATACGGCCATCTGCAGCGTCCTGGACACCACAAAAAAAAAAAGAGGGTCAAAATAATTTACGGTGACTATGACCTTAACACCGCAATATGACAACATGAAGCGAAGGTCAGTACAGTTGGTCCTAAATACGGCCATCGGCAGGGTCCTGGACAGCACAAATAGAACACATGAAGGTCAACACGGTTTGGGTTGACAATGACCTTGGGTCGCGCCGAACACACAGAATACAGAGATGAGATGAGAGGAAAAGTTCTTCATTCACAGCCACTTGCTTAACAAAAGCCAATGTTTCGATGACACTTGTTAAATGTTGACTCTTGTAAAACAGGTTCTTGCGAAATTTGAAATTTGCTATTCAATTATTCAACGGATGAGTGATGAGACTGTGGTCATATTTCCTGCCAATCCCATGTGCGGTTTCAATTCTATTACCTCTAAACTCTATTGTTTTCTGTCACCCAAATTTGCGGTTACTATTCTGAACTAATATTTCCTGTCACTCCAATTTGCGGTTATAATTCTACCTCATCCGAACTCCGTTTCCTGCCACTCCCTTCGGTGGCTATAATTCTACTATCTCTTTTCCCTGTCACTCCCATCTGTGGTCAAAATGTACCATCTTTCATCTGATATTTCCTGCCACTCCAGTTGCGGTTGTAATTCTATCGTATCTGTGAGGAGGAAATGATTCTTACCCAAACCCACCTACAGATATAGAACTAGACCGGCATAGTTATGGATACGACACGTATTTTGTGTTTGTCTTACATGAATGCAATGGCAAGTGGGTAGGTCGTGAGTTCGATCCCCGGCCGAGTCATACCAAAAACTTTAAAAACGGTACATACTGCTTTCTCTGCTTCTCAGCATTTGAGAAGTATGGGAGTTTTAAAAAATACTACCACTACCAGTGGACTAGCCCCCTGCTGTAGTGATTGCACTGTGTGGCCCAAGGGCTATAGAAACGGAGATGGGCGCCGCCATATGTGACCATGGCCATGCTAATGGTTGCGAGGAGGACTTTAACTTTTATTTTTACTTACATGGATGCACTCGGTCATGACCAGCTCCCCAGTAGTGCGGTCCTTGATGCACAGGGCGATGTCTTTTCCTGAAGGCTTCATCACGGTGCAGATCTGGTCGTTGGTGTAGGTCCAGCACTGACAAACACAAACACAAACAAAAACAAACATTTCAATACGCTTTCTAAATTTACAAAACAGTGCAGATGTCATCCAACTTCAGAACGTTTCTTTTATGTTTACATTCACAGAACTATTAGGAAAACATATTGTTTTGCTCTGCTTCTTTATCCCAACAAATGATGTCAATGACTTGGACCAGAGGTCTGTCACCATGGATATTGGCACTGTAGCAGACACCCTGTGGTGTTTAATAAGATTATGTAGCAAGTTGCAGGACAGAGTTGGAGGGGCTGGTCACCATATATATGTAGTTTGTTAGGCTAGATCACCTGAAGGTTAACATTATGCATTGCTAATGTTACTTTTCTAGTTTCTATTTACTTGTGTTTGATGGTTCTTTTTGCTGTTAAAAAAAGTCGACTATTTTAGAATAACGTCATTTCCGTTCTGACCTGGTTGTCGGCGCCATGTTGGTCCCAGAGCACGACGGGAGATCCGACCACGTCCCCGCCCTTGGTGACGTCCAGCACCATGCCGCACCCCTTGTTCTTAATCATGAACTTTTGTCCAGACATGGTTCTGTAGAGAAAGGAAAAATAAGGCTACAATTAGATTAGGCTACTGTGACGCAATGATCATCTTAGAACTGCCATTTTGGATTTGGACCAGCGTTCCGATCTGTGAACCTTTCGAGGTAGCCTCTACCAGGCTTCGGGAGGCGGCTGGAAAGAGAAAGCTAGAAATCTGCCAAATAGAGAGATAACATGCCAGGGGAGTTAGTCCGCTAGAGAGTACAGTTTGCCGCTAGCGGTCCAACTCCACTGTCATGTAATATCTCTCTATTTGACCAATTTCTTCTCTCTCCAGCCGCCTCGCGAAGCCCGGTAGAGGCTACTATCGAGGACCAACCCCCCTGCCATGTTATCTGTCTATTTGGTCAATTTACTACCCTTTATATCCGCTTTATCGTGTCATACAAAGGCAAAGTTTTAAGATTAATTGTCACCTGCTGGGTAGCTTCTACCAGGCTTCAGAGGTGGCTGTGGAGTTTTTCTGCTAAAGGAGTACAGGTTGCCCCTCTGAAGCCTGGTAGAGGCTACCTGCTGACAACATTAAGCTAGTCGTTACATTAATATGTCGTGGGGTCGTGTGGCGTAGCGGCAGAGTGCGCGACTCGGAACTAAGAGTCTTGGGTTCGAGTCCTGACTTGCCACCTATCTTATGCCCTTGGGAAAGGCCCTTTACACGACTTTCCTCACCTCGCTCAGGTGAAAATGAGTATTGTATTGTATTGTCCCATGTTTTGGTGGCGGCATTAATATAAGTTGATAAAGCTAGAAATCGACCAAATAGAGAGATAATATGCCAGGGGAGTTAGTCCGATAGAAAGTAATGATAAAACTTGAGTTTGTCGTCACCACGTCTGGTGATTACATGTTGGAATAAATAGAAAAAAAACAAAAACATTAAGCTGTCCTCTCTCCCCATCACCTCTGCCAGGTAAATGTGACACCTGTCGTCGCGCACAAGTGATTTCTTTGTGGCTACTAAACTATTCGTGATGGTTAAGATAAGACCTTACATCCGGAATGTTGTATTCGCTCGACTGGGCGTGAGAGGTAAAGTATTGTCCTGCTGTCAGATATATTCTATAATAATTACAGTCTTACGGCGTTTGGGGGATCTTCTTCCATCCAGGTGGGACAATGTAAACTACCGACTACACTTAAAGCTTCTTGTTGATCGAAACTTCTTGTTTATTGAAGCGTTAGTCTATTCACTAGGCAGAATTTCAGTCTTTGGCATGTTTTTGACGTGTTTTTATGCGTTTTTATTCGGCTTTCTTGGTTTTTATCTTTTTTTACGCCTTCGGGTGGGAAAATTGATATTAGCCATTTTGATACTGTGCTTCCAATTTGTCTTGTTGGCACCGAAAGATCTGCTTAGAGATTAGTCTGTATCTGTATCTGTATTTGTATCTGTATAGCCGGTATAACCGCCTTTCGGCGTAACACACCAGCTTCGCAGGCACGCGGCGCGGCGGCAGCTGGCTATATTACACCGATCGACTTGTTCCACCTAACCCTTGAACTTCAAGCTCTAGACATTGTTTAAAGCTATCTATTGACAATGCCCCTACTGTACTTTGTGACAGTGAGTTCCACTCTGCGATAGTTCTAGGAAAGAATGAATTCTTGAACACCTCAATCCTTGGTTGATAACTCTGGTACTTGAATGCGTGGCTATTCGGTCATATCGTCATGCAGTGGAAAGCTTTTCCCATGTCCCTCACAAAGTGCAGTGTAAACAGTACACGAGCGCACTCAGCACATGTCTGACATTCCGAACTTATCTTTGCGTGTCCCCCGGTCGTGCTGAAACAACTTCTGATGGTGTATTCAAGGATTCCGCGCGTAAAAAGGGTCGAACGGGTCACATTTTTAACCTCGTCACTAAACACAATAGCTAATTCGTTCACAAGGTAACATGTCTGTATCTGTATAGTCGATATAACCGCCCTTCGGCGTAACACACCAGCTTCGCAGGCACGCGGCGCAGCGGCAGCTGGCTAAATTACACCGAGCGACTTGTTCCACCTATTGTTTGAATATCTATCTCTAAACGCTGTTTGAGGATATCTAATGATAAAGCCCATATTGTACTTGGTGACAGCGAGTTCCATATCAAAGTTTAAAATTTCTAAATACCCGAGCGACCTTTGATACTGGCTGTGACAGTAACTCGAAAGAAAACGGCTCGTAATTAAGTTAAACATACTCTACGGACTAACTGAGTGTCTACTGATATGATAAAGGCTAGAAAACCAGGTCGACTGTTTTGTACATGTAGCCTCTACCAGGCTTCGGGAGGCGGCTGGAAAGGGTAGAAATTGGCCAAATAGAGAGATAAGCATGCCAGGAGACTCAGAGAGTACAGTTCGGGTGCGTCAAACGTGTACTCTCTAGCGGACCAACTCCCTGGCATGTTATCTCTCTATTTGGTCAATTTCTACTCTTTCTAGCCGCCTCCCGAAGCCTAGTAGAGCTCGAGGCTACTGTTTCAGCACTTTCCCAACTAAACGCCGAAAAGTCTGCGAGGGAGTCTAGCTGTGACAGGCTCTTAGTCAAACATACAACCTGACAGAGTACGTGCCATGCCTACTGATATGATTAAGTCTAGAAAAATGGGTCGACTGTTCTGTACACCTAGCCTCTAGCAGGCTTCGGGAGGCGGTTGGAAAGAGTAGAAATTCGCCAAATAGACAGATAACATGCCAGGGGAGTTGGTCCACTAGAGAGTACAGTTTGCCGCACCCGATACTGTACTCTTCAGCGGACCAACTGTCCTGGCATGTTATCTGTCTATTTGGCCAATTTCTACTCTTTCTAGCCGCACCCCGAAGCCTGGTAGAGCTCTAGGCTACTTTTTCAGCACGTTCCCAACTAAACGCCGAAAAGTCTGTGAAGGAGGCTAGCTTTGACAGGAACTTAAAACAAAGCAGCTCGTAAGAAAAACATACAAGCTGACAGAGTACGTGCCGTGCATACTAATATAAAGTCTGGAGAACTGGGTCGACTTTTCTGTACGAACACCTGCGTTTTCTCAAGACAGTTATGAGAAGGCAAACTGTACTCCTGTAGCAGACCAACTCCCCTGGCATGTTATCTGTCTATTTGGCCAAGCTTTACTCTTTCCAGCCGCGTCCCGAAGCCTGGTAGAGGCTATGTGTCCTGTACACTTGTGTTTTCTCACGATAGTTATGAGAAGGTAAACTATACTCCTTTAGCAGACCAACTCCCTTGGCATGTCATCTGCCAATTTGGCCAATTTCTGCTCTTTCCAGCCGCCTCACGAAGCCTGGTAGAGGCTATGTGCCCTGTGCACCTGTATTTTCTCACGATAGTTATGACAAGCGAAGTTGTTGACGGTTCCTGCCTGACCCCTTATTTGTCAGCTAACCC